TATGTCAAAGAGCATATTGAGTTGCTCTTCCTGAACAAGATTTTATCAAAGAAGAAATTGATAAAATGTTGAAAAACAAATTGATCCAACCATTTAAAAGTCCTTGGACTTCTTCTGTAGTTTTAGTAAGGAAGAAAAATGATAAGTTAAGGTTTTGTATTAACTATCAGAAATTTAAAAGTATGATCTGATGAGACTATTATCCCCTTTTACGTATTGATAAACTTTTGGATATGTTTAGCAAAGCTAAATATTTTATAATACTTGACTTAGTTAATAGATACTAACAAGTTGTTATAATACCTAAGGACCAATAAAAGATTACATTTACAGTAGCAATCATAAGTATCCAAATGTCTCTAACTCTGATTACAAGTAAATAAATTCAAAATTTTTTTTTATTTAAAAAATACATAATTAACTAACTAAAATTAATACATTATGTAGTCACTATCTGATTCTATAAGTGCAGCTATACACCTTTTCATGCTAGCTACTAAATTTGTGATAAGTACAGGTAATAATCAGTTTCATTCTTTTGTAAGTTCTCCTTTTAACTCTCTAATTGATCGAATTTTTTTTGTATATTACTTTTCATTAACCTTTAAACATTTTTTATAGGGTTTTGATCTGGAGATATTAATAACTAAGAAAGTATCTCAATGCCATTTTCTTCCTTTTATTTTTTCGTGATTTTTGATTGATGCTTTAGATCATTATCTTCTTTTAAGATTCAATCTATATTACTTTCACCAAAAAGTTTAGAGGTAAAAGCCAAAAGATCCTGCTCATAAATAGTATATATAAATTCAGCATTAAGTTCTTCTAAAAGCAAAATAACTTACCAAATCCAGAAGCAGAAAAACATCCCTTAATATGAACTTTTGGTGGATGCTTAATAGAATGAAACACTTTTTTTCTATCAGAAAACTGCCAAACCTTTTTTTTTGATGTATATAATTGAAATGTATTTTCATCTGTAAAAATAACTCAATTCTAATCAAAATTCTTATATTTTTTTACCTATTGTAACCTTTTCTTTCGATAGTCTTCTTTAAGCAAAGATTTAGAAATTTTATTATTAAACTTTCTTTAGACTTACGAAGGCGTCACCTTACTGTTTCTATACTAAGCCCAACACCTCTTTCTTTCATTTTTTCTTGTATTTGAATAGCTATTATATTATGTTCTTTTTCTGCCATCTTTACAATCTTGTCATCTTATTTTACAGTAGTTATACAAAGCTGTATTAATCTTTTTAAAGTGCTTAGATTACAATTTTTATGATATCTTTTAACCTAATAGATAACTGTAGATTTATTACAACGTATTTGTTTAGCAATAAATTCAAAACTAAACTTTAGACCAGCTGAATGCTCACGTAAAAAAACAATTCCATAACATTTTTCTAAAGAAAGCTCCATTTTTCAAGTGAAAGTTTAATAATCATTTAAATTTTTTTTTGTATCATTGACACTTATAAATTTACCAGTGATCATGTATTATGTTATATTATATTCCTGAAAAATTTAAGGGGTAGTTATATAATAATTTTAGATGATCTCAGGCAGTTAGATACTTATGACCGTTACTGTATTACTAGTCATGAGCTTTATGAATTTACTGTTATACCTTTTAGTTTAAACAATACACCAGCGATATTCCAAAGACTTATAAATAAAATCTTTAGAGAAGAAATTGGAAAATATGTAGCTGTCTATTTAGATAATATAATTATTTTCTCAATTACTTTTGAAGAACATCTCACTCATCTGAAAAACATATTTCAATAACTAAGAAAAGCTAGATTGAAATTAGGATGAGATAAATATGAATTTGGAAAGCTTGAACTTGCTTTCTTAAGATATATCATAAATGGATAAGGAATTGCCTCAGACCCTTCAAAAATTGAAAAATTAGAGACTTCTTAATATCTTCTAATATCATTGAATTTCGTGAATTTTTAGAACTTGCTTCATATTCTTAACAATTGCTATGCCTTTACATCTTCTACTTAAAAAGAAAATGCCTTATCAATGGATTGAAACTTAACAGTAAGCATTCGAATATTTGAAGAAATGTCTTATTACAACTTCTATTCTTATTTATTCTAACTTTTCTAAGAAGTTTTTATTATTTACTGACAGATCATATATAGGACTAGATGCTGTTTTAACTCAATTGGATGATTAGCAAAAGAAACATATAGTTGCGTATGCTAATTAAACTCTTAACAATACTAAAAGAAATTATATACTAACTGAACTTGAATATCTCGCTGCTATTTAGGCCATGGAATATTTCAGAACTTATCTTTTATATTAACCTTTCAATCTAATTACTGATTATGCTGTATTATAATGGTTATTCAACAAACCTGACTTTTCATATAAATTTATAAGATAGATTGTACAAATTACAGAATTTTCTTACAATATTCACTATTGTAAAGGTAAATTATATTAAAATGCTGATATTCTTTTTAGATTATCTTCTCATTAATCAAAACAGTAAATTATAATTAATTTAGAGTCAAAGCATAAGCATTAACAGTATGACTAATGGCTCTAGTATTCAAAAATAGATATCAAATTATATCAAAACCTCTATCAATATCTAACTCAATCAAAATATCCTGAATCATCTACACCTACATAACAACTTTCTATACAAAAATAAATGAAACATTATATTGTTTATAACCACCTTCTCTACTGACAAAACTCTCAAAATCCTTTAAACCCCCTTCTCGTTATTAAATCAACTGAAGTCAAATTCCTTTTACACAATATTTACAATGAACCTCTAGAAAAATACTTAGAACGTGACATAATCTTCAACAAATTAGTACACAAGTATTATTGGCCAAAGATATATAATATAGTAAAAGAATGGATGAAAACATGTGATATATGCTAATGATAAGAAGCATTTTGATAATAAGAATCTTTACATCTAATTTCAGTTAGATAACCTTTTAACTAAATTAGGATTGATTATATAGGACCCTAAGGTAAAAAATACATCATTGTTATCACCAAATATCTCACTAAATAGGCTGAAGCTACTGCTATATCTGATTATACTGCACAAACTATAGCATAATTTATTTTCCAAAAATTGTGTGTAGATATGAAATCCTAAAGGAAATATTAACTAATAGAGCTACATCAATCTAAAATGAATTAATAGCTGCATTACTACATATCATTAGGATAAAATATTGTTTTTTTTCACCTTATTACCTGCAGACAAACAGATTAATTGAACATTTCAATCAGACTTTATGTACTATCTTGACTAAATATGCTAAGCAACATTAAGAAGAATGGGATATTTATCTCTCATCAGCCTTATTTGCATATTGTACAGTATAACAGAAAATAATTAAACACGAACTTTTTGAGTTACTATACAAATAACATGCTATACTACCTATAGATTTTTGAGTATCATGACTGACTACAACATAAAATTTACCACAAACAATATAAAAATATCATCATCTTCTAAAAACACAATTGCAATAATATTGACATGATGCACAACAGAATATTTTGCAATAACAATAAAAACAAAAGGAGTATTATGACCAAACACATAGGTATAGATTATTATATCAGAAACAAAGTACTTTTATGTAATATTTCACGATCACATATACATAAGAATAAATTTAAGGATAAATTTGATGAATTATTCTATATTCATAGTATCATATGACATAGTATATATAAATTGTGAACATTAGATGGATGAATTAGAAAAAATCTAACGCATATTGATTAGCTTAAACCTTATCTTAAAAGGACTAATTGGAAACCTTAGATAATTATCACAGATCAATAAACCTAATATTATAAATATAAAGTCTAAACGAACGTAATCTGTAAGAAAATGACAAATATTGCTATTAACAATCTTATCCTATAAGAATTGCAAAGAACTTCAATTCAAAACTTACCTTTCGAACTATTAAAACCCTATATTGAGGATATGCTTTATACTTTTAAAAATTTAGGAAGCAAACAAATTCTGAATACTCATTTCTTAATATTAACCTGGATTAGATAACTCAAATCTAATGAATATCAGGATCTCCTTAACTATACTTTAGAAATTTCTGTTGGAATAGAAATCTTAAGAAAGGAGTAATGTGACTGGATGATGATTTTAATGATCATAGATCTACAAATGTGTGACAAAGTACAAATGTTAAAAATGTCAAACATATTGAACATATTGTTTATTAAATAATTTAAATAATTTGATCAAATTAGGTTAAATTAGATCAGGTCGGGTCAGGTCAGGTCAGGTCAGGTCAAATGAAAATTTAAATCAGGTCAGATTTTTGTTTGACCTGAACTGATCCTCTTAGTTCAGGTAACTTGATTGACCTGACCTGAACTGACCTGTTCAGAGCTCTATTTTTAACAAATAAAATTTTTGAAAACTGATCACATGATATAATAACAATATTACATTAGCAGACAAAATAATATTTATTTAGTAATTTAGAAGAAATAACAAGAGTAAAAGTGAAATATCAATATTGTGGTTGATAGCTCTTAAAATAACATATATTCATAGCATTTATTATCTATTAAAAATTTTGTGTTGTCAAATATATAGTAATTTATTAATTATATTAATTATATTCAAAAAAAATCTCTTTAATTCAATTGATCTTTACGAGAAATAAGGTATACTAAAAATTAATAGTATTACTATTCTCTATAAGTTGATTTTAAATAAAATTAAAATGTCTTTAAAGTTATTCTAGAATTTCTAAATTAATATTTTCTTCTTAACGAACAAACTGAAAGTCTTCATTAAACTTTCTATAATTCTCTTGAAGTTTTTGATTCTTATTTTTTTTCTGAAACAAATCTTTTTTCAAACATTTACACTTAAGAAAAAATTTAGCAGTTTGATTTAAAGAAGTTGATATTAATGCTATCAGACATCAAATCAATACATTCTTTAATATTATTTAAGCTTCATATTTGAACGAGAAAATATATTACAATAAGCTTTTTAAGAAAAATGCTTGCTTTATTAATATTTTCCAAGATTTGAGAATATTTATTATTTACATCATTATCGAGTTCTAATCTAAGTAAACTTTTTATCTCATCTATGCTAATGTATATGTGCTCGAAAGTTGCATTCATATGATCTTTTAGTTTTTTTATAGCTTTATTGCATTTGGCAATTTTATCGATTTCAAATTCAATATGGGTTTTTCTAGTACCACTTCTACCAGAAATTACAATACCACAGTAATTTTGAGTTTGAGGTGTTAGTTTAAACGTCATGTTAGACAAGTTTTGATTTAATACTTTGCAAAGTTTCTCCTCTATCTGAGGGCGAGAAACAAAAGGAATCAAAGTGATTAGACTTTTATCAGCCAAAATAATTCTCCTAAGATCTGACAAGGAATCGATGGAAAGCTTAGGCCTCTTTACTTCTGATGTTAAAAAGAAAATAATGTATATTTTTTAATATTAGGAACTATATTGTGTTTATTCGCATTGATCAAATTTATTGCGACTTACTTACTAGCAACGGGTTACTCTGTAATAACGCAAATATTTTTTTAGACAAGTTTGACGATAAGAAGCAGAAAAGAAAAACACAAGAATAAGTAAGTATTTGGTATTGTTAGCGAATTCAAACACATTTTCTATTTTGAGACTTACCAGAAATCAACAAATTTCTTAGGTATGTAAATTTAACTTTATTATTTTTGCTTTTAATAAGCGTTTTTTCCATACCAGGTAATTTGTCAATATTGTTGAAATACATAAATAAATTGGCTACTTCTTTCTCAATGAGTTTTTCAACATCATTGATATCAGAAAGGTGATTAATCTCGTTATAGATATCAATAGTAGTCATACTTATTATTTATAGTTTTTTGCGTAAAAAAAAGTTTCACAGGTTTTTGAAAAAAGAAATGACTTAGTAGGTGACATAACATAAAAACTTTCTAGGTTACTGTTAAAAGGCTTCTTGCTGAGTCACAAAGTTGGTGCTAGGATACATGAGGCTTTCTTGGTTCCCTGTGGTCAAAGTTTCTTGCTGACCTAGCATTGGTCCCATCAGGATCAACGATTAACATTGATAATTCAATTTTTGCAAATGGAACTATAAATGAAACAATATGTAGCGGAATGATCAACAGCAAAGTTGTAATTAAGAGAAGGAATCACGAAGAAGTATGAATATTCATTTTTAGCAGTTCTTAGTGTTACTGCCAGTATTAACATTATGATTTGGCTTCATGCATCTATAGGACGAAATCGATGAATTTTTTTAAAAACCAAATGAATAACAATCCAATCAGTTTGCTAAGAAACTGCAAAAATCAGAAACCACAGATGAATGTAAAAATGCATCAAAAATTGAAACAATTCATTATGAAAATGACAATGACGAGATAGAAAAAGAAATATGTAAATCAGTCATGTTAGAGTACAAATGTTCATTCTAGCAAATAAAAAATGAAAATAATGGTTCTAAAATCGGGAAAATGCGTTGAAGACAAGTTGTATGCCTTTGAAAAATAATGTCGATTTGAATAGTATGTAAAGATATATGTGATTGCTAAAAAATTTCTGAGCTTAATAATATATGATTTCTTTTGTTTCTGATGACAAAACCTATATTCAAAACAATGTATTTACCTCTGAAGAACTTGAAGAAATTCGTAATATGAAAACAAAAGACCTTCCTAAGATGCTGACTGAATTATTAAAGTATCTTGGCTCTTCTCAAAAGAAGTCGACAGAGAAATTACGGATATTGACAAAACTGGGAGGATAGAAACTTCATCAGGATCAAACACTTTGATTTTGACTGGATAAAAATAGTGTCCACAATTTATTATTAGAATATGAGTCTGGTATATTATAATAAAAACCTTTAGAATAATGGTATAATATTCATGTTTAATCCTTAATAGATGAGTCTTTTAACGAGTTAGATGAGGTAGATGTTTCCAGAGGTGAATCATATAGCCTTGCTTTCTCAAAACATAAAAATAATAAAAGAATAATTCAAGGATTAGTCATAACAACACGAAAAGCTTTTGGAAGAAGAGGTGATTTAATTCTAAGAAAAGAAATACGTGAGTATAGTACTTTTGAGGTTGGAAAAGACTATGAGAGTGTCAACAGGACGAAATTACTTAAAGAAAGAGAACTAAAAAGTCTGAAGCTTAAAGACATGTTAGTAGACTTAGAAAATTTCATAATGTGAAAAACAAATAAGTTGCGTCAATTGGAACTAGTTAGCTTTATTTATGCTAGTAGGTATTAATTTAATCTGCCTATGAATTTTGCTACAAATAATAATTACATTATTATACAAGGCTTTTTATGATTTTATTGCGTATGGATGTTTCTGCTGATTATGTGTGTAAAATAACAAGATCAGATACTTTACAAATACCAACTAATGTTAAATATTTTTTGCAAGCTTAAATGTATAATTTTAACCTGAAAAGCCAAAGTTAATATCAATACATTTTCATAACATCAAAAGTTAGGCGATTATCCGTAAAACAATTGATATTGTTGAAGGAACAAATGACAATGATAATGAAGATGATGCGTTAGAAGATTTGCAAGAGGCTGGCATCCGTAAGTGTAAGAACGACAAGGATTTGACCATAATTTTTAACTGTATTAAGACATCACAAAAAAAAAGGACAGTGAATATTTAGTTATTTTTTTAATATGGATTATATTTGATATATAGAAGTTAATTTGTTCATATATAGCAATTTTGTAGCTATAATAAATACTGTTCTAGAATCAAAAAATCTTAACTATAAAATTATGCACGTGAAATGTGAAAAAAATATAAATTTCTTGCTAAAATCACACCCAAAATTTTTGAATCCAGAATTTAAAGTTTTAAGTTAATCGATGAGATCCAATTCTTGAAGATGTTCTAGAATTACTACATATGAGGGTCTTCATAATACCAAACATATCTTAGTGTAATTCAGTTCTTTTCGCATAATTCTTTCTTGAGTTAGTCCCATGTCTGCTGCCTGATAAAATTATTAGGATCGCCTTTATGAAAGAATTCATGATATTTTTCATGTTATATGCCTTGTACTTCAATTGCAAAGCTATACTGTAGATAAATATATCAAGTTCTAGTCTATTTAAATGTTCTTGTGTCTTTAAGAATTTAGGCCTACAGATTAGTGAATGAGAGCTAAGATATTCTGTTAAAATTTCACGACATAATTTTCTCTTTTATATTTAAGATAGAATAGATACCAATTTTCTTGCGAATCATAATATTGATTTGAAAGGCAATCTCCATTTTTTATTTGCGCAAGTTTACGCTGTTAGTGATAATCCGTTTGCGCAACTAAATGACTGCGCCAACTAGTGTCACCAATGATCACCAGGAAAATCGTGATCACCATTTTCACCGATTTCACTGCTATCACGGTTATCATTGTGATATTCATTTTCTTTATTTTATTTATTATCACGTTTATCATTATTTTATTTAATATATTTATTTTCATAGTTATATTTACTTTCACTATTATATTTATTATCTCTATCTTATAATTGTATTTTATATAAATATCCTGTATTGTCATCTTGACAAACTAACAAGTTTCAATCGTACAATTAATAAAGTATAATCTTAACAACCTAAAAACTATATCTTTGCCAATATCTAATTCCTTAAAACATAAATCATCAATAAAGACGACCTGACCCTTCAATTTAAATAAATTCGTGTTTATTTCTTTTATAGTTTACAACTTAAACTCCCTGTTAGCAAATAAGCTTTGTTATCCTAACGACGTAGTGTTTAGGCTTAATAACAACTATGATCAAATAATTTGAATGCATTTATTTTTATTATATGCTGTGCGTTAATAAATGTTTTCTATTATAATTAGTAATGTTAAAAATGCTAACCTTTCATATTTATTTAGATATCAGCTCTTATATCAAAAGTGTTAACCTTCTATATTTGGTATCTGATTCTTTATTAAGGATGTTGACTTTCTATGTACAATTTAAATACCATCTTCTATATTAATAATGTTAATCTTCTATATATTTTTAGATGCTTAGTTCTCTATTAAAAGTGCTGACTTTTTATACTTGTTTAAATGTTAAATTTTATACTAAAACGTTTACCTTTTTATGCCTATTTAGTTGCCTGTCAAATTCAAAAAATTATATCAGGTGGTATTAATTTGTGAGACTGCAAGGTACTAATATTACTTTCTCTTTACGTTAGTAATGAATATTAAGAAAATTTATCAAGAAAAATTAGATTAATATAAAATTAAAGATTATAACTATTCTATATAATTCTTAATGCTCTGAATTATAAACTGGTAAAAATCTGAACTGAACTGAAAATTTTGGATTAATCTGAAATTTCAGATCATTCCAATCAAACGATTATTTTATCGTTCGTTTGGAATGATAATTTCATCGTTCCAATCGAACGATTCTTTTATCATTCGTTTAGAATGATAATTTGATCATTCCAATCGAACGATTTTCTTATTGTTCATTTGGAATGATAATTTAATCATTCCAAACGATTCAAAATTTCGGATTGAATATTTTGCAATCTGAAACCAAACTGAAGTTGATCTGAACTGAAAATTTTCAGATTAATCTGAACTGTTTAGAGCTTTAATAATTCTCAATATATGTTAAACCATGTGTCTTATTTATAATTTTAATCAATCTAAATATATTACCATTTTCTTTTGCTACTACTTACTCATATTTGTTTATAATTAATATTCATTTGTGAGAAATTTTTATTAAAGTTATTATTACTTAATGCATTTTTATTATTTTTATTATACCAAGTAAGATATTCTTAATATAAAGTAGTATAACATATTTATTTACAAATAATATCTTCTGACCATAATAAAATATAATTAATTATAAATTAATTAATATTAGAATAAACTAAATCTACATTAAAAAATTCTAAAGGAATTAAATTATTCTGTTTTTCAATACCTTGATCACTAATTATATTTTTAAATCTAACATTTTCATCTTTCAATTCACTAACTTATTCTTTTAATAAATCTATTTTTAATTACATATTTAAATCTTATGTATTAAAATGAGTTTAATTTACAATCTAGTATTATGCTATTTTAATGAATAATTTTTAAATTTCATTATAGTTGTATATATTTTAAAATAATTATTTTTACGTATTTTTAATAATAAAATATATTAGTACAATTAACTTTTTTTATTAATTGCTTATCAATTTACTATACATCTCTATTTTGTCTTAAACTAAAATAGATTTTGTTATTATAAGTATTATAAGTTAATATATAAAATTTGTGATAGAATCTGTAATATATTCATTATATTTTTTAAAATTATTAGGCTATTTTATTTCTTCTTTCTTGATTAGTATCACAAATATCATAAGTAAAAAAATAGTAAATTTTAAAAAAATATATTTTTTCTATATTATACTTTATATATATGTATACCCATAGATAAAAAAAAATAAAAAAAGCAAAGAAATTCGATTTTTTCTTATAACACTTATAATACTTATAATACCTATCAAAAAACTCTCTTTTAACTTAGAATGCTTAAAAAACTTATTGATTGTATTACAGGTTTTATCACAAGTTTTTTTCTAATATTAATCTGTGATAAGTTATATTATTTTATATCACTTCTATTTATATATATTTTGCCTATTATCATCTAATATGTAAAATTCACGTATACAATATGCATATTTATATATTAAAAGTTTTGTGTATATATAGTTTTTTTTTTTTTTTTTTTGTAGTACCGGTACA